TTGCCGTGGGTGTCAAGGACGAGGTGTGAAGTGCATCAAATGAGACAAGTAGGCTTTCGTTGTTAATTTTTATCAATATTGATTTAGGTTGGGCCAGGTATGATCTTTAACAAATGCAAGTGGCTTGTCCGGATTGTCGGGGAGATGGTTGGTTTATAATCCTCTTTGAGACAAAGCGGTGGGAATAGGCTTTCAAGTTCCTCCATCAGAAAAATGCAAGAGTTGCCGATGAGAGAAGTTAAAGAAGGTCCAAAGATGACTGAAGTAATTCGGATTTTTATTATGCAATTGAATTGACTTGTATCAGGGGTTCATGCTGATCCAGGAATGCGACATGGAGAACAAGTTACTTTCCCGGAGAGGGGTGATCAAGTTGATGTAAGTTAATTTTAATGAAGTGTTTTTGCTTTACTGTTAAGCATGAATGTTTTAGCCTGAAATCGAGGCTAGTGATGTAATTGTGGTGATCAACGTCAAAGAGCACGCTGTTTTCAAGCGCAATGGCGATAATCTTCACATGGTCAAGTATGGTAATAAATTAGCAATCGCTCAATAAATAAAAACATTTAGGGAAATTTCTTTGAATGAAGCTTTATGTGATTTGAAATCCCAATCACACATCTTGATGGACGAAAAGTTGTAACTCAAGTCGGCACCTGGGGATATTGTCCGACCAGGTAAGTTTGAGCTTGGGGCATGTTTCACTTAACAAGTTTAGATGATATTCGTGGGGTGATTGGCGAGGGGATGCCAAAACGACGTCATCATGAACTTCGTGGGACACTTGCGTGGGGAAATTTGAAGTCAAGGTAACAAGCGTGATGCTTGACCATTTCCAAAGCACTTTTTTAGTTCCCCGTTTCGCATTTCTTGGATGATGAAAAGAAGTACAAGTTGTTGGCTAGTTGCTTCCCGTCAATGAAACAAATCGCTCCACCAACTGGCGAACATGAAGAGGTTCACTCTTCGAGTACGACGAGAAGAAATATGGTGGTCGACGTGGGGGAGGCCTATGAGGATGAAAGTGATTCGGTGAGTATTATTTCTACAGTGAGGAAAGTTTATAATGCAGTTAGTTGGGTCAGGGGGCGTTTTGTGAGACTACCGTCGGGCTAGTTCTCAAAGTCGGAACCAATCTCAGGCTTTCGATTAATACCCAATTATTAATATTATTAGGGCTTTATCTTATATTCAAAATACTGCGCTTTTAGGACGAAGGACACGGCTCACATGGATCACACGTACAGTGCGCTCAATCTAATTTTCAACAGAAAAAACTTTGAAGACAATATTTTTATTACCTAGGTTGTTTGCTGCCCAGTGTTCTTCAATTCAGTTTTACTTCTTCCTGATGCTTAGACGGGTGTTACCAAGCTAGAAAATTTCCTGATAGGTATTCTTTTTTGCCAGTTTATCACCGATATTATTCCGGCTCTTGAGCTTCACTCATGTGCGCAACCGATTTCAAGTACCGTAAATGCTGTAATAGGCGATCCTTCCCGGTCCCCCGTTTGTTTAAGAGTAGACTTAGACTACGCAACGCTTCTACAGGGGTCGTTCTAATAGAGTCTTTTTACGGTAAGTCTTTTGTAAGTCATCTAAATGTCACTGTGATCGCCACTGTTATTCAATCTCGAACCATGTGTTATTGATGTATAGTAAAAGTGTTATCGGAGAAAAACTCTGATCACAGCATTATTTTTGTTGTCGTTCTTTTTCTTGTCGGTAAACCCTTTTCACACTACAAAGCTTTTATAGATCTCCAACGACGCTTTTGGTGAGCGTTTTAACCTACAAAACTAGTAGTCCCATCGGAAACTGAAGTAGGTCAATCTGAAATTAGGAAAATTCTGTTGTGTTCTTCCCGGAAACAGCTTTCCCTTTTTGCCTTGTTCATTGTTGATTGCTCTGTGAATTTTCTTGGATTGTCTTACAAGTCTACTGCAAAATTTGTCGATCATCTTTCCAATCACATGTTGAAAAAATGTTTGTTTAAGACCTTTCCCTTCACCCAGTGGTGCCTCAAATCTTTTGAGGCTGTCAACTTAAAACCCGAGTCAACGACATTCGAGGCCATTCATTCAGTCGGGGAGAGATACAAGAAGTTTTTAAAGCAAGCTTTATTCGAGGGCAACGAATTTGCAGCCAACACAACGAAAAGCGGAAATCACTCACTCAATACATCTGGAGAAAAATCTGTAGTTTCGTCATTGTCGTGTCGTACTGTCCACACAGCATTTAATTCCCCTTGGTGTTCTCACTCGTTTTCTTGACCTCCTCCGTAAAATAAACATCATCGTTTTGTGTGTCCTCGTCGTTGCTGATCGACATCATAAGAAATAAATGGAAAGTAGGTTCTTAGAATCCCAAATACACAAATAGAATAAACTCACTGATTTGGATCTCGAAGGCTGGCCTCCCTCTTGGATCACTGGCTTTTCAGGTTTTCCGATGAGTCGTTACTTGTCGCTCTACCCTCATCAAGGTATCTTTGATGCTCGGGCGGGCTTCAGCCTTTTGTTTGCCCTAAGAAATTTAAATTTAAAATTAAATTTTAAATTCTCAAGAAAACAACAACCGAACTCACCAAATATCCTCCTTAACGAGCTTCTTGGATGTCTTGGGGCATATTCTCTGGCAACGGACACATTTCACAGCGCCTAAAAAAGACACTTTTTACCAGGTTAAATATGAAAAACGGTACCTAATCTTGTTGTCGCAATTTTCCTCGGCTGATCCTCACAGGCCATGGCTTCACTCGTTGTTGAATACTTCGTAGATCAGCTGAAATTAATTTTATTTATGTTTTTAAAATCAGAGTACTAACCATTCCAAACGCCCAGACATCCGACTTCTTCGAGTAAATGGCCGGCTTCTTCAGCGTTCCGGGTGCCATGTGACTAAACAAAAACCTTTATGCGCACAAAAAAGCCAAAACAAACCGAACTGGAAGCTGATGATTGCCCGGCTCGTCGATGTCGATTGATTCCTTTTCTCACAAAGAAGGGGAAAGGCCAAAGTCCGAGATCTTGATGTATCCGTTGGCGGCGATGAGGCAATTCCGAGCCGCGATATCCCCGATGCAAAAGTTCTTCTCACGTCGTGCAGATAGACCATTCCCTTGCTGCCTATAAAATATGATTTGCAACAAACAACCAAATCACTTACATCCCGAATGTAGACGATTCGCTCAGCCACAGAGATGTTATCCTTCTCCCCTCTGTAGATGCGTCATTAGATCCTCGTCCCGGGCACACTCCATCACGACTTGAATTGGCGGGTAATCAGCGGCCACTCAAAGAACTAAAACTCATAAACATTCAAGTCAAAACTATAATGCTCACAAACCCTGACGACATTCTCGTGCACGTAGTAGACTTGCGTCTCCGCTTCTTTCAACATCGATTCACGCTCTTTCTTGAGTTGTTCCACGGTATACGCTTCTCTTGCTAATGCTCTCCTAAATGAAATACATTTAAACAATTGTAGAATCTAAAGATTCACTTTAATAGCGACAATTTTTCCATTTTATCATCAATTTTGTAGATTCCCTTGTAGACATTGGCAAAATTTCCTGTTCCAAGAAGATCCTAAAATGGTCCTCTGGAGATTTATTTCTAAACGATAACCCCAACCTTGGTTCGATCAAAAGAAAGTTGATCGTGTTTAATCATCCATTGGGGTCGGTCAACGGGGGTTCCAAGTTGTAATTCCGTCTTGTCGTTTTAAAACAAAATAAGCTAGTGCATAAAGTGCAAAGTTACTTTATAGAATTCAATCAGCTCGACGACACTAGCGAAGTCCTTGCATTTCTTTTTCTTGTTCTTTCTGAGGGCATTGGAGACTCCATCGTTTGTTTGCACTTCTAAAAGATTTAGATGTAAATAGGCGAACCAGAAAAAGAAAAAACTAAACGTACTCAAGTGTGAGGTGTCTGATTCCTTTCACCGGATCGTGGTAGCTAAGCACAAGCATGAGTGTCCCATCCTTATCGGTCATCCTCACCAACCAGCTTCCGCTTTGTTTGAGCAAGGTGCTAAAAATTTCAAATAAACAAAGGCTTAACAAATAAAATTCCAAAAACTTACGTGACTTCCTTGCGCGGTCTCATTCCATGATAGTAAATTTGTCTTTCCCGAGTTCATCGTCGTTGACTTTCTTCACGTCCTTACTGTCCTTCGGCTCCCTTGACTTCTTTCGTCTTCTCTTTATCGCGGTCCTTTCCGTTTGGCATCTAAACAACAATGTTTAGCATCATAAAAGTACGTGTAACTTTCCTAAGAACAAATCAGTTAAGAGGAGATTGTCAATTAACGGAGTGTTATAAAATGGACTAGGCTGTTTTGCGAAGCCCAGCTAACGCAAAAAAAAGAATAAATTAATACAAGTAAAGGTAAAATTTAAAACTAACGAAAAGATTAAAAAAGCCCACCTTCTTGCCGCGATCGAGGAAAGAGAAATGACTTTTACGGCTGGGTGATTTAGTTTTATATGTCGATTAAATGCAAATTCGATAGGTAAGTTTTTGCCTCGGCTCAACAAGAAGCCACTGTTTAATTTGGGCCAAAATTTGATCATTTACTCGGTCGATTCAGCATAGATCTGTTCATCTTTTATATAACCCGGCAATTTTTCTGTTTTAGATCGACAAGAATCGACATTTTTTCTGTTTTAGATCGACAAGAAGCCACCGTTTAATTTGGGCCAAAATTTGATCATTTGCTCGTTCGATTCAGCATAGGTCTGTTCATTTTTTTTATATCATCCGGCAATTTTTCTGTTTTAGATTTAAATGCAGTTATCCTTGTGTTCTTTCTGTGGTACGAAAACTAGCCGTCATGCTTCAAGCCTTGTTTTTTATGGTTTGATCTTGAATCATCGCTAGCAACTTGCTCTCGATGAAAGGACCTGGTTTGTTTCATTTTATTGGTTGAATTAAATAGTTAAGTACCTGTTTTCCCGCTTTTATTAGGATTCAAATAATTTTAAAGATAGAACGATTGACTTGTGGCGAAACTTATTACAGAGGTTGTATTTTTGATTGGATAGATTAATTGTAACTTTAGGATGTGTAGAAGAAATGCCTGTAGTGGCCAGTGTTCGCCTTATCTTTTCTCTCGACCGACTACTTTTATCCAAGTAACGATTATGAGCTTTCTTTTACTTTCATAACAAGCTTTTAGATGCGAGTTGTGGCAAATCTGTAGGAAAATGGAAAGCTTTGAGTCTATATGACCAGCTTGGCACCAGTTAGTTTCTAAGTTGCTATTTGTAATGTTTTACGTTTAGCTATGCACTTTCGGGTTTGAATCGATTACGTTAGTTATGATTCTCAATGGTCGACCACTGAATTCCTGTCCAGGTAAAGCTTAAGTTTGTCTAGTGCATAAAGTATGTAATGTTTTGGATCTACTTTCAAGAGTGTTTATAGGGGCTATGCGGGTTGGGTGATGGCAGTGTGCGGGACCTCAGAAATAGTTTTTCTAGGGTTTTCGGCCACGCTAAATCGATTGGTAATATTTTTTAGAGCTTTTTCTTGCTACACTAAGCTACACCAAGGCTATGGCTCAGAGTACTGGCTGAGCATAGGTTGTTGTTAACGCTGTTAATGGTCTAGACATGTTACGTACCTCCGTCTTTGCCGCTCCCGCGTTCTTTGCGTGTTATTTATCTAGGCTAGGGCTCCGCACATATATAGCGTACTGACCGAGCACAGTCTAGTATGCTTAATCACGTTCGAGTATTGGCCGGGCATAGGTTAAGACTGGCTGCCTATTACCGGATATAAGCTAGATCTGCCTCGACCACAAAGAAATAACTCACAAACACGTTCTAAAAATTACCAATCGATTCAGTGTGACCGAAAACCCTGGAAAAGGCACTTGCCAGAGGCATTTTGAAGGCTCCACCCACTGCACACCCCCAACCCATATAACCTCCGTTTACATTTAGATCTCTTGAAGCTGCTGATCCTAACGTTGGCCACATGGATGATGCTGTGTTTCTCCGTGTATTCCGGGCGAGCTCTTCGCCAAACGATATCCTTTGAGCATACAAAACGTGAACTCGAACAGACAACTTGTTAAACTTTTTGGGCAAGTTGTTGTGTCAATATTTTTCTTGAAACGCTTCATCTTCTTGGCTCAATAAATTTTCTTGCTTTTCTATGAAAATCGATGCACAACGAAGTTCTTCAACTGAAATTGATTCAGTTTCGGTAATTATGGGTTCTTTATCTCTTTCGACCCGTCTTTCGTGGATCGGCCACCGTAGTTGAAAAGAAAAAGCTTGAAAATTGTTGCTCTAGATGACGAATTCGTTTCGCGTATGCACCTGTATTCAAAAACGTCTCTTTCGCAAGAAAAAGAGCACGCGCGTTTGTCCCGTGTTTACACCCGCCTGTTAAAAATCTTCGTATTGAATATTTTAATTGGAAGCTTGCAGCTTTATAGCTTTTGCCACTTTTTCATATGTTGATCATGCAAAGAATCGCTAACTTGCGTAAGAAAATTTTTAGAATGGAATGCATACGTTGATTTCTTCAAGTGACGAATTGATTAACAGAAACAGTGAACCGATCAACGTTTCTATACCGCAGACAACCAACGGTAGGCAAAACATAATACATGAAAAAATATTCGATCAATCAATTGCAAATTTGCACCAATAAAATGACACTATTTAAATAGCGCTGGGCAGCTGCCAATTTTTTGTCATTCCTTTGCCCAAGACAATTTCATTTCAATCACTTGGTTTATTTTTTGGAGATCTTTTGTTTTGTTGTAACTTGTCAACATGTTCTATTCCAGAGTTGCCCGCGCCATCTCCTCGACCGCCTCCACGCTGCATCTCACTCGAGCCGAAGACCGACTCGACCGCACCATTACCTGTTGTGATCAGAGAAGTGCCTAGTGAAGTCAGTTTATTATTTTATCAGAAAGTTTCCGAAAGGCCATTGAGCAGGGGTTAGCACTTAGGTTAGCACTAGGTTTAAAGTTTCTTTTTCTAACTTAGGTACCTATAAAGCGCGTTAAACATTGGCTCTAGAAGTATTTTACTTTTACTTATATACTCTGAATCCGATTCAACCGTTATTTTATTAGCTTTTAGTTGGCTTTACAGTCCTGTTGTAGCTGCTGTGACCTTCCGATGTTCTTGTCTTGGGTTAAACAAAAACGTTTCTGGGCTTTCCTTTGACTTGCTATTTTAGATTTGCTTGATTATAAAGATTTATGGCTGAATGCCAGAGATTTAATTTTTAATGAAGACGATCAATTTTTTCATTTTTAGCTTCGGACTTGGAAAATCACTCGCGAAGGACTTGTTGAAGTCAATTCTGGAACAATGGGTATGATTCGATCAGCTCTGTTGTAACTATATTATGATTTTAGGAGCTTTTTTGGATAAACCAAAAACAAACAAAAGCAATATAACTGGAGAAGGAAAGGTTGGTTTTGAATCTTATAGGTAAACTTTTGGGACAAAGAAGCTGTTGAAAATACCAACATTGCAACACCTCAATCAATCAACTAACATTTATATTTATATTAGGACATCCGCTATGCGATCGCCAGCATGCAAGGATGGAGGATTGACATGGAAGATGCTCATGTTGTCGAAGTATGATTTATTCATCTTTTTAAAGCTCTAGAAAATCTTGTTTATGAACAGAACGTACTTATAACATGTACTTTAGATTTCGATGGCTGACAAAGAACCATTCAAGGATTGGGCGTTTTTTGCCGTGTTTGATGGTCACGCAGGAAATGTTGCAGCTGAACAATCGGCTGAGCACATTTTGAAGACACTTCTCGAAACCAAAGAGTTCGATGACGTAAAAAAATCGTTTGTTTGACTTATTTGTTTTCTTTTAGGTTAGACAAATCCTTTGCGAGAACGGAAGCAAGCTGAATGAGCGATCGATTGAGCTTTTGGAAAGTGGAATGAAGACTGGATTCATGGCCCTCGATAACATCATTCGATCGAGGGTTTGTTTATTCTTAGGGGACTAAAAGTTAAGGCTAATTTGTAACACTAACACTTTATATGCCTTTGCCTTTTTAACTGATATATTGAGATGGTTTACTAAATAGAAGCAATACGCAATGCTCTTTAAAAATCTTTTTGCTTCCATACTTCATACTAGAAGTTTCCAAGAACTACAGTTTTCCCTTGTCATCATTTTCCGGCCCGCAAAACTTTCAATCAATACTTATCTGACCAATTGCCGGCCTTTATCACTCGCTTACGCACATTTGGTGTTTCCATGCTCTGATAGCGGGGGTGTGACTTTTCGAGTCTTTTCACGGATGGATCATCAATCATTGAAGTAGGATTTGAACATGCGAACGTTGGAAAATATCCAAGAAAATTTTGAACATTTAACATTAGAAGTGAGTGGAATGAGGGGAAAGTGTGTAGTTCTTCTAAAATTTTACCTAAAAGCCACACATAAATGAATATTGCTCGGACACAAATATCAGGATTCTTGTGATTTAAATTTCTTTTTAGTTAGCCGCAAAAGAAACTGATAGATCGGGAACGACAGCTGTTTGTGCCATTCTTACCCCTACCCACATCATTATTGCAAATCTTGGTAAGCAGCTCAAAGGTTTCAAAGGAAAGTCACTTGCTTTAGGTGACTCGCGTGCTGTGGTTTCTCGGGCTGGAGAGTCATCAATCGGTACTGAAGATCATAAGCCATACTTAGAGAAAGAGCGAGAAAGGATTGTTGGCGCTGGAGGATCAGTATGTTAATACGAACAATCATTTAATCTTTAACATCTTAGGTGATGATTCAACGCATCAATGGAAGCTTAGCTGTCTCTAGGGCTCTTGGAGATTTTGATTACAAGGCGAGTTTTGAACCTTGAACAGCCATCGATTTGAATACGGTCTTTGATTTGAAGTTACCTGTAATGACTTCCGAACGCTAAAATTCTTAGGGTCATTACCAAAGCCACCTATTCTTTTAGGCCGTTCCCGGTCTTTGCCCAACGAAGCAACTCGTCAGCTGTGAGCCAGATATTTATGTGATTCCGAGAAAGCAGGTATTTATTTATGTACTTGCTCTATTATTCCAATTTTTAAGGATTTGGATCAATTCATGGTATTGGCATGTGATGGAATTTATGATGTGATGGAGAACGATGAACTTTTGCTCGTTTGTTGAGGACCGCCTCCAAGTTTCCCCGAAGCTTGAAGATGTTTGCAATCAGGTAAAAACAATATTGTTATTACATTATATTAGACACATAGCACTCTATGATAAGACGCTTGAATTTTCCTGTTTATTAGTCTTTCAATTTTAGGTGCTTGATGCTTGTCTGCACCGTGGTTCCCGTGACAACATGACTATCATCTTGGTAATTGAAGTTTCGCATTAAATGTTAAACGTTGTGTTTAGATTTGCTTTCAAAACGCGCCCAAATTGGACGAGGAGAAGAGAGAAAAAGAAGAAACATGGGCCGTCGACATGCGGCAAAAATTCAAGGTTAGTGATTTGATTCTGATGAATGGTTAGGATGTTTATTTTCAGAGGTTCTTGATGAAGAGCTGGCTTCACCTCATTGGAACAAAGAAGAAGTAGTCTCCATCTCTTGGGTTTGAACATAACCTTTGCTGTGAAAATTTCTCTTAGGTTCTCCGTCGCCTTTCAGCCAAGGTGGAAACAGATACTGGACCTGCTCCTCACCGTCTGCGCACCATTATTGATCAGGTGTGTTTTGGGGAATTCAGTTGAAATCGGTGAAGTAAACTTTTAAATCGATTGTCTTTTAATATAGGCAAGAAATATCTCTAGTTAACGTAAATTTCAGTCAATTGAGATTCGAGTTTATCTTCCAAAAATTGCCTGACTCAATTATTTATTAACTTTATATTTTTAGGTGCTCACGGAGAAGGGCATCACTCACGATCATTAAGAGGCCTCTTCAAGCACACCGGACAGCTCCTCTATTCTTTCTTTTTTCAACAACAAAAGTAGCGGGTGATCGCTCTTTTGATTGGAGCCGTCTCCTAGTGCCACCTCGCGTCAACACCGGTTCATTTTCATTTCTATTTGTTTATGTTTTTGTTCTTTTTCTTCTTATGATTCCCCTAATGTTTTGTTTTGTCACACCAAACATTTCCGGGCCAGTAAAAAGATGTTTTCTCATGGAATACCTACCCCGTAGAATGGTGACCGTTGTTTTACTACTCAACTCGAATGTTTCCTCCCACTTTTACCCACCATTTTGATCTTGGATTCAAAAAGTATCACAATGTAGACTACTTAAACATTTTGTTTATTGTGCTCTTTCGTTCACTTTTGTTCGATACATTTTTCATTTCTTTTCTTCATCTCCGAGTTTCAATTTGTATTTTCATTGATATCTATCCTTTCCGAGTGTTCTTCTGAGTAGGCTCAACAACGGCTGTCCCTTTCTATTGTTCAAAGAACTACCCTGATTAAATGTAATGCCTGTGAAAGAAAAAGAACAGTTCCCAAGTATTTGCCAAACAACTTATCCTATTTCTTTCCACGTTTGTTTTCTTTATTTCTCCAATTCCAACTTTGGCCAATTTGGTTGGTACTTATTTGTGGTGACTTTCTTTTTTCTTACTAGTGTTTAGTGCCCTTTGTAATCTTCCCTTTTTTCGAGAGTTTTTTGTATTATAGTGTCCCCCATTTTCTTCCCTAAAAAATCTCTTGCGTTCTTCCCCCATCAATTTTCCCTTCTTTCTAGTTATTTTTTCCTTTTGCTGTAAGTGTCCCCGAATGTGTCCAAAAGGTAGTTCTCCCTTTTCTTCCCCTCTTTTTTTCTTTTCTCTCCATAAACACACACATCAATCGATCGCCGATAGAATTGCTTCTTTACAGCTGCTGTGTTAAATATGCATTAAATTAAATAAATAAGTTGTATATTTTGCTCTTCAAAATAGCATTCCAGATTTGGGTGTCGGTATTTGACATCTGTCATCGGCAGAAATGGGAAAAGAAACCCAATTTCGCACGGGCTTTGGATTTATTTGTGGACGGGGTTTTGGTCATCGAATTCAAATGAAAAACTAACGGATACGATATCTAGATTGACTATATTTTTGTCTTGAAAGCTACAGTACATTTACTCACAAGTGGAAGGATCAACTTTGTATTTTTGTCTCTGCATTTTTTACAACACTTCATCTTTAATAATTGTTCAACTAGTTTTGAGAATGGCTTCTACAAAGCATCCATCTTTTTTTGTTTGCAAAGAAGAACAAATAATTGACCTCATTTATGAATGAAAAAATATGTAGACCACTTTTTGCATAACAAAACTCTCATTCTAAGTTCTCAGCTATCGAGATGTTAAGCGAGTTTTACAATAAAACCAACTTACACAATGGAATTGAGGGTAAAAAGAGAAAGACGACTCTCCGTACTTGAGGGGGAAAAGAAAGGATCGGGGAATCGATGATGTGCACAGCCCCACCCCTCCCCCATTCAGTCTCTCTTTCTTCTCTTTTCTTTTTTTTTGCTTCTCTCCTCGAAATTTCCCCTTTCCCCCTTTTCATCTCACATTTCTCCCCATCTCTCTCGCTCGCCGTTGAAATTTCCCCATTTTAGTACCACCACCAATAAACCATTCTCGTTATACCCGTTTGTGCATTTTGACTTTAGCTTTTTTTTCTCCATTTTTCAACCAACTAAAATCATCATCCATTTTAGACCAATATGGAAAACAAAAAGAATTATTTTCTTTAATTTTATTACCTTTTTAAACCTTTAGCATTTTCCCCATTTTTTAATCATTTTTGCGGCCCAACTTTCGGTGGTCATTTTTATGAAATTAGCCCCCTTTTTTTCGTCGTTACTTTTCGTAGCTTTGTTAGCCACAAAATTTAAATGAAAAGAATCACATTTGTCAGAAATTTTCAGAATAATCTACATTTAAGGTATTTTGGATCTTGTTGAGGATTCTGTTGCCTAAAAAAATGGCGATACTTCAACTCTTTGAATATCTTAAAAATGATTAATTTCAATTTCCATGAAAGACTCATTTCAGAATTTCCCAGGAGTGATTTCGAGAATTTCTTCGATTTTTTTAAAAGCTTAATCGTTACTTGATCATGATAAAATTCAGATTTGGATCATATATTGTTAAGATTTGGTTCAGTTTTAGTTCAGATTTGGTTCAGATTTGTTTCATATATTGTTAAGATTTGGTTCAGATTTGGATCATATCTTGTTAAGATTTGGTTCAGTTTTTGTTCAGTTTTAGTTCAGATTTGGTTCAGATTTGGTTTAGCTTTGGTTCAGTTTTAGTTCAGATTTGGTTCAGATTTGGTTCAGACTTGGTTCAGTTTTAGTTCAGATTTGGTTTAGCTTTGGTTCAGTTTTGGTTCAGATTTATTTCATATATTTTTTTGAAGTCATTTACCACTAATTTTTCTTAAAATCAAACACTAAACAATATTTGTAAGTAAACAAAAGTGATCGCTAAAATCGACTCTCTCCTTTCCCTTTTCCTCCTCAAATCTCACGCCGATCCTTTTACAAAATGTCGTTTTCTCTTTTTAAGCACTATTTTTGAAGCAAAGACCTTTTGACGATTTTCCTAAACAAAACGATTTTTCATTATCTTAAGAATTAGCAAATTTTTAGAAGATTAAAATGAAAATATCAATCAAAAACACGTCAAAAATTCCTTTTTTGATAGAGAAAACGACATTTTGTAAAAGGACCGTCAACAATTCCAATTCCTTGTTTCTAATTCGCCGAAAACTTTGTGAAACTGCCAAAAAAATGTTTCGGTTGTTGAAGATCGATTTTTCTCTCACCCTTTCTCATTTTTTTTTGTTCTTTCACAGTAAATTTTTCAATTTTTTACACATTATGAGAAAACACAATATTTTTCAAAATGAATGACTTTATTTGATTTTTGATTTTGAAACTTTAATCTCAACCAATTGAATTTCCTTGACATGTTTCAAGCTTTAAAAGAGGTAGAAAGATGCTTCGATTTAGAAAAACAATCTACACCTCCTCTTCCAAAAGTTGTTCACAAAAATGACTCCCGGAATTCGAGAAGGGTTCGTTTTGATATTCAAATTCTATAGAAAACTTGTTTTCTGATCTCTAAAAGGCTCTAAAAGCTGAATCTGTTGAAAGTATGAATACGAATATGTACTTTGGGCTCTGGTAAACGCACGTCTCCTGCCTAAAGCCGATTTCATTTATCAGCGACATCTACAGTTTGAAAGAGGAATTAAATGAAGGTCTTCTTGCGTGCGCGGTGAGCTAGATGCGCGGCTAGGTGCGCGGCGAGCTAGATACGTTTATTGGAAACAAATTTAATAAGATAGTAGATAAAGCGATCACTTTTTACTTATCAATTTATTTTAAAGATTAATCCTGTCACTCGTTTCCTCACTTCAAATGGCTGAGCAATCAGCGCTGAACGCTCTCTCGAATGGCTTGGATATGAAAGAATTGGCTGCTGCTGGAGCCGCTTTTCCGTTTGGTAAGTGGAAAAGATCAAGTTTCAAGGTAAATAGCTTTAAATTAAACGCCCTGGGAACCGTCATGGCCGAGTGGCTAAGAGTCCTGTTTGCTGGTCAGGAGGTCGAGGGTTCAATCCGGATCTGGACTTTTTTCTTCCTTACATTTTTCTTTTTCTTTCTTCCTTCCTTACATTTCTTCCTTACATTTAGGGCTGCTTGTGTATTGTTTATGCCACGTTATTCATATGAATAAATGTACACTACTGGACAATGAAATATCATATTTGAAAAAAGATCGTCACTTTCGCGCGTCTGTAACTCCATTGTCTTTACCGTATTTCTAAATATTAATATTACCATTGTGTAGCCCTTGAAAAGAGCTTTCAGAAAATGTATAACACTAATAGTTTAAACTTAAAGACAAGGGAGTTACAGACGCGCGAAAGTGACGATCGTTTTTCAAATATCATATTTCATTGCCCAGTACTGTATCTCTTACATAATTAAAAATCATTTTCTACAAATGAAATCAATCAAAAGTTGTTCAAATGTTTAGCGACAGAAATGAGAATTGTTTTCTATAGAAAAAAAATTGATCTCATTATAAAGTTTTCAGGAAAATTAACGACTACCTTATTGATGGTTGTACGGCCATCATCCGATCCTCGATCAGCTCTCGTCATCGATGCTTTGTTGCTCATTTTGGCGGCTGTTATCGGCTTAGTGCCAAGGTTGGTGTGGGAAAAGAATTTTTTATCAAAAAGCCTTTTAACCTTGTGAGATTTTTTCGATAATAAGCTTTATTCCTTTTTTTAAACAAAAAATTTGAGCTGGTTTTTCCTCTCGATCGCTCGTTTCTTCATGGGCGCCGGGGCGGGTCTTGGATTTGTTTGCGCGCCGGTGCTGCTCGCTGAGTTGGTCTGTTTCAAATTTGTTTCTTTGTTTCTTAGACTTTCTCCACTAAACCCAAATTTGCGGTTTCAATCTGGTTTGAGTTTGAACTGAATCAGTTTTTTCTAAGCTTACTTCAATTACTTTTGGGTAACTAGTTTTTGACTGAAAGATGAAAGGAAAAGCCTGTACAGACTGCTCTTTTATATAGTAGATAAGTGAAAACTGATGTTTAATTTCATTCCCAGGTTCCCTACCGTCATCGTCCGGCTCATTTCCTCGTCCTTGGCTTGGCTTTCTGTTTCTCGACTCTAATCTCGAACATTCTACCAGTTATCAAATCCGATGCCTATCTTGTTGTATTGGCTTGTTGTGTATTCAGTGCGACTACAGGTGAGAAATGAAATCTGAATTGTATGAGTGAATGCTTTCACTTCCAAAAGACAATCAAATGCAAAAAAAAACTCTGCTGGAAATATTGCGAGAGAAAAGAAAATTTTTGTCGCAAAGTTTGACAAAGTTTTTGAACAAATTAACAAAGAATAAACTAATCTAACAAAGC